AAAAAAAAAAAAAAAAAAAAAAAAAAAAAAAAAAAAAAAAGTGTTCAAAATTTACTGACCGAAGGCGACAATCATGTAATCACCATATAAATCTGCAGTGTGAAGAATCAATGGGGGAGGACTAAACTGTGAAGATATCGTAGGTACTGACCACGTATATACTGAAGTACTTGTATCCAATATAGCTAAACTTGGCGATGCTGTTATTAAATTAGGTCCTTGCGCTCCTCCATATATTATTATTTTTCCATCCGGTGTCAATACTGCTGAATGACTATTCCTATTATCTATTAATTCTCCGCTCGTTTCCTAGTAAATTAATTGCAAAGGTTAAATAAATAAATACTATACACATATATATATAAATGTATATTTATAATATTTACCATTGGATACCAGGTAGCATCTTTTGTATCATATAATGTAATCTAAAAATCAGAATTTTTTTTTCTTAATAATAATAATAAAAATAAATTCTTTTTGAACATAATCGATTAAATTAAATACCTGTTTTATATTCAATTCAGTTTCCAAAATTGAAGCATCTCTTACTGCACGAGTTCTACCACCAATATAAACAATCACACCATTCGGTAACATAGTAGCAGTATAATCAGCTCTAGGATAAGTTGGAGAATTTTTCATTTGAATTAATTCCCATCTGAATTCAGATTGAGCATCTAGAATATTCATATCCGTATACCATTGAGGATTTTCACCCAATTGAATTCCACCATAAATAAAAATGTTTTCATTATTATCAGAAACAATTTTCATTTCCCTCCTTTTAGGTGGTGGAGCACCACTTACAGTTGGTATTGTCCATTGTTTTGTAGTTGCATTAAATAAATATAAAGCATTGTCACCATTATCTAAATTACCAGAATTTAAACTCCAAGTATAACCTCCATATATTAATATCCCATCTTTATTTACTACAGTACTACTCGCCCATGAAATTGTTAATGGCATTCCCGATGTTCTAGTTATATCTACTAACGATGGATCTTGCAAATTAAATGATTTTTTTAAATCTAAATAAAATACATCATTTGATCCTTTCAATTGAAAACTAGTAGGTTGACCTCCTATTATAAATAATTGATCGTTAATTAGTGCTGAAACGTGTGCATATCTTGCATTTGTTGCTGATTCTACTAATATCGTTAACGAAAATGATATTACAAAAAATTGTAAAAGAAAAACATAAAACATTTTGCATTAAAAAAGGAGAAAAGAAGAAAAGGGGGGAGTAAAAATAAAGGAAGTTTGTGTTTTTTAAAAAAAAAAATATCATTCTCTCAACGATCAAACCAAAGTGGTAAAGATTATCGCAATGCTTATTTCTTTTTTTTTTTTCAAATAAAGAATTTAAGGTAGTTTATTACTATATTCGTTCTTCCCACTTTTTCATTGGGAAATTAATTAGGCGGAAAGTTACTTTTATATTATGCTCATGTGATATTGATTGAGGAATTTTACGTTAGCGTAAACTAAAATAATTTTGGAAAAAACATGCTCGAATATTTTTATATTTTTGATTTTGATTTTATTTACTTATTTTTTTTTGTTCTACAAGTACGTATATATTTTTATTATAATGTAATTCAATACCATGCGATTGCGCCTCAGAAACCTTAAGTTGAAGCGCCAACATACCAAAATTGGTAAGTACAAGATTTACAATGATCCTAGTGTATCATAATTGAAACCACAAAATGCAAACATATCGCAAAAAGTACGTAACATTTCTCGAATTATACCTAAATATGAATCCCTTTAAATCAANTTTTTTTTTTTCAAATAAAGAATTTAAGGTAGTTTATTACTATATTCGTTCTTCCCACTTTTTCATTGGGAAATTAATTAGGCGGAAAGTTACTTTTATATTATGCTCATGTGATATTGATTGAGGAATTTTACGTTAGCGTAAACTAAAATAATTTTGGAAAAAACATGCTCGAATATTTTTATATTTTTGATTTTGATTTTATTTACTTATTTTTTTTTGTTCTACAAGTACGTATATATTTTTATTATAATGTAATTCAATACCATGCGATTGCGCCTCAGAAACCTTAAGTTGAAGCGCCAACATACCAAAATTGGTAAGTACAAGATTTACAATGATCCTAGTGTATCATAATTGAAACCACAAAATGCAAACATATCGCAAAAAGTACGTAACATTTCTCGAATTATACCTAAATATGAATCCCTTTAAATCAAGTTATTAAACTTGTTCTGGATTTGATGGCTTTTCTTTGATATTTCTTTATAGAGTAAAAAGTATTTTATATCATTTATAATTTATAAATAAATTTCGAGAAGTCGAGATCCGAACGCCTCAGTAGTTTGATTATTTTTATACATCTACAATTATAGTGGCTTTACCTTTTTTAACATAATATCTTGATATTCTTCATGTGTAATCAATCAATCATTTAAGATTAAAGGATTAAAAAATCCCCCGAAAAAAAAAAAACAATAATAATCATTACGACAATCATTTTATAGTTGTCCAACAAATAATAACATATGATTGGTGAAGCGCAGTAGTGGCGCAGTCATGGTAAATATTTTAGTAATTAAGAAAAGTCTGCTTGTTTTCTCGAAACATTTTTAGGAATATTTTTTTTTTTCATTTGCAAATACATTTTTATTTTACAAAAACGTTTCTAATAATAAAATAAACGGAAAGATACAAATACTAAAAATTGGCGATATAAATACAATTTATTATTTTTAATTGTGTAATTATGACCTCGTAAATTGCTAACCGTAAGCACACAAAAGAAAAGTCTAGACCGATTGGTTTTGAAATAATTAGTATAGTATTTCTTGTATGGTATGCTGTATTAGTCAAGTTTTATATTCCAAAAACAAACAAATAAAGAAAGTTTGATTATATGCACCTAAAATTGTGAATTACCTGGAATACTGAATAATACGGGTACGGGTAATTAAAAAAAACGGGTAAAATATTAATAATTATTTTATGGTTTCATATCAATAATATTTTAATACCGATCAGAATTTAAAGTTGTACTCTTTTTCGTAAAGATAAGCGCTTGGCTTAGATTTTGTTGATCATGTGATTGTGTGTTCGCGGGTAAAATATTTATAGTTTGTTAATCATTTTTTAGTCTATTTTTTTTTTTTTACTGTAATGGGATATATTAAAATATTTTATCCAATTCCAGTTAAAAAAATCAATTAATATTCGTTTCACTACACCCGATAAACCTGCCCAGTTTTTCATCGACAGCCCCGCCCAGTTTTCATCGACAGCCCATCTCTGAATACAATTACAAATTCTTTTTCCTTTCCCCTTTTCCACCCCCTATGATGATCGGGACCATCAAGGACACAATGATGAAAATCACGTCTAAACTATACAATTTAACATTAGGATTTTTCCGACGAAACGAATACGTCGTCGTATGGATTTTATCAGTCATCATGATATTTCATGAGATTCCCGCGATTAAACCGGGCATTTGCGGCTAAGGTTTCCGGATAATTGCACTAGCAGAATTTCCCGTTTTTCTATGCCATCCCGAATTTGTTAGGTATGGATTGCGCCTTCGATAATTTTTATTTTTTTTTTCGTGATAATAATAAATAATAATAAATAGCCATACACAAAAATCTTTAATAAGATTGGTGCGCAAAATTAGCACTTGGCGTTAAATAATTGGAAAAAATACCTCGCGATGTTTATTAATTATTACAATATCATATGATTTTTTAATTGTATTTTTAATATACCGTTTATTTATAGTAAATTTATAAAATAAACAAACAGTTACAAAAATACAAACAACTCATTATGGTAATAACGCGCGATTTAAAATTAAAAAAAGGGGTATTGACGGTTTTAGTATGAAATGTTAGGATTGTATAAAAATAAAAAATTTAATTTGAACTTTGCTCCTAAAATGGAATATTGACGATAAATTATGAATTAAGAATAACAAGTTAGATAATTTCCATAATTGTTTAGCAAAATAATTTAGTTTATTTTGAAATACTTAATTTAATTGAAAATCATTTAAATAAATTCATCCTAAAGTTTCAAACTGCAGATTCAAACCGTCGGTTTTGAACCGAATTGATTTCATCCCTACTAATAATCTGACTTTGAATAAGAAACTTTCAAGTTGTGCGCAAGTCAAAATCTAATCCTGTGAAGGATAACGTCATTCCTAATATATTTAGTTCATGAACGCGTCATAATTTTACATTGTACCGGCAGACCTGAATAAAGACATTTCTATTATTCAAGAATTCGTAAAAAATAAACTTGCCCGACTAATCCAATTATTAAATAACAGTATAGTAGTTGTCACGTAAAAAAAAAAAATTTTTTTATTTTTTATATAATAAATTGAAAATTGTGTTAAAACAATAAATATTAATCGGCCGATTAAACTTAATTCGGGCTGGCATTAAATCTAACAATTTTTTTTGTCACTTAATTCTGGCCAAAATACTTTGGCCGGAATTAAAAAATCGTTAAAATATTGATTTCGGCCTCTAGTCGGAATTTTTTAAAAAAAAATTTTACGATATGAATTCAAAATAAATTTTACGATATGAATGCAAAAAAAATTTTTTTTTTTTTTTTTGTCAGTCCGCTAGTTACACCCCGATTATTATTATTTGTCGTAATTTTTTAATTAATGATCGTCATTCGTATCGTAACACGAAAACATTTATGAATAATTTTGTTCGCATGTTGACAAATGCACATCACTCGACACCCAACATATTTTTTTCATTTCATTCATTTTTTTATATAATGGATAGTAAACATAATAGTACTGATTCGGATAAATGGATTCAATGGATTGAGGATGGAATTTCAAAATGTTACATAAATTATTATGAATATAAAGAATTTCAAAATATTAGACGTATAGGTTCTGGAGCTTTTAGTAATGTGTATAGAGCAAATTGGGAAAGTTCCAATACTGTTATTGCATTAAAATCTTTTAGAACTGATAGTTGTATTATAGAAATTGTTAACGAGGTAAAGAAAATTTATAATAATATTTCATAAAAAAATTGACTGACTTATTCCTTTTTTTTTTAGTTACAATTATTACATTTAACTCAATTTCATGCAAATATAATTAGATTTTTTGGTATTACTAAAAGAAAAAGTAACGGTAAGTATTAATTTAAGAGTAATATAAGTAATGGTCTCAAAAATGTGATAATTCACACATTTTATATCGAGCTATTTTTTATTTTTTTTTAAAAAAATTTCTTTTTTTTTTTTCGTTTAATTATAAGTTATATTACGAATAATATTTATTTTATTATTTATTTTATTTTATTTTATTTTATTTTATTTTTTATTTTTTATTTTTACTTAGATAATGAAGATGATTTGAATCCAGATTACTTACTAATTCTCGAATACGCTGATAGTGGTACATTAAGGAATTATTTAAAAAAGAATTTTAATAAATTAGATTGGGATATGAAAATAAAATTTGCAATACAAATTGCTGATGCGGTTTTATGTTTACATCAAAAGAATATTATTCATCGTGACCTAGTAAGAAATTTATTTATTTATTATTTTAAAATTTACTCAAATTTAATACTTAATTTAATTATTTCATTTTTATCAAAATAAATAGCATTCAAATAATATATTGATTCATCAGAATATAATTAAATTGGCAGATTTTGGACTTTCACGTAGATTAGCTGAAGTATCAAATTCACCAAAAGATATATTTGGAATGATTCCTTATATTGATCCACAACATTTCAAAAAACAAAAAAATGATGATAATAATAAGAATCATTATAAATCGAACAAAAAATCTGATGTATATAGTGTAGGAGTACTTTTATGGGAGTTATCATCAGGAAAAAAACCTTTTGAAACTTATGATAAACCTTTTCAAAAACCAACTTTAATGTTAGAAATTTTAAATGGAAAAAGGGAAACTCCAACTTCTGATACACCAATTGATTATATTAAAATATATAATGGTAATAAATTATGTTGTTTTTTTTTTAATTATGTTAATACTGTACTAATAAATATTTTATTTGTTACCCTTTTCAGAATGTTGGCAAGATAATCCAGATAATAGACCGGATATGCAACAAGTATTTTCTGAATTAAAATTAATTAATTTGAATATAATAGGTGAAACTAAAACTTTATCGGAAATTAATGATGATTTTACTATTGATGATAGTGATAATTTTGGTATTAATGGTATTAGTAATAGTTTATCAAGTAAT